CCATGTAGTCGACCACGGTTCAAGTCCCAGACCCGGTGGCTTAAAACTCACGCCAGGCACGTGTGCGTGCATGCCCAAGATCCCGAGAGGAGAATGGATGAGAAGGGATTGGGGCGTGGCCATTCCCTCTGTGGGGAGCTTTCTCGCTTTCTGTCTCTCTGTCTCTCTCTGTCTGTCTGTCGAGCGCCCACGCCCTATAGGGAAAACCTCTCAAAACAAAAAGAAGAGGGTGACAGGAAGGATAACAAAGGGGTGACCACACTGCCCTAGGAAATTCCTTCCTTCCCTGCATTACTGCCATATACAGGAGATGATGCTACTGTTTTCTTCTGAGCTTTATAACACACACAAAGATGTGTGCATTAACTTGGCTTGCAGGGTAACCTCTCAAGGTACACAGCTTGTTAAAGAAAATGAAATCGGATTCCTTCGGAAAGAGCGCACAGTGCTCTGCGCCGACAGCCCTGTGACTGCTCCAGGAATTTACTCGGGCAGTTCGTTTGATGGGTTACTGAGAACTGCCATAGTCTCCCTTTACCATGCAGGAATATCCCATCGTCCATCTGGCCGGGATTTGGGGCATGCACGCACACATGCCCAGTGTGTTTTTCAAGCCAGCACAGTCGGGACTGGAAGCTCAACTGGTCTTGCGGAATCCACTCCCAATGCACAGTGCTTAGCCACTGCGCTCTGGGCCAGGGCAGCGGAGTGTGCTTTATTGATATACAGCTGAATTTCCAAGTATGCTGACATTATCCACAATTTTTTTTAATTTTTTAATTTTTATTTTTTGAGAATTTTTTGCTATAGGGCACGTGCACTCACCAGAAAGACAGAGAGACAGAGACAGAAAGCGAGAAATCACCCCCGGGGGGATGGCCACGCCACAATCCCTTCTCCTATATTCTCTTCTCGGGATCTGGGGCACGCATGTGCACACACCCAGCATGAGTTTAAGCCACTGGGTCTGGGACTTGAACCAAGATCGACTACATGGGAGTCCAGCGACTTAGCCATTAAGCCAACTGCTGGTCCTACTATCCACAATTTATAAGCCAAAGTTATTATGATTTAGCACTTAACCAGCTTCTGAAAGCTAGTAATTTGGGGCCAGTAGATAATTTAGTGGTTAAGGAGCTGGATCCCACATGATTGATTCAGTGGTTTGAATCCCAGGCATGGCAGCCTAAAAAACATACTGGGCATGTGAGTGTGTGTGCCCCAAATCCTTCACTCTCTGTCTCTCACTGGTGAGCACATGTGTCCTATGGGGAAAAAACATTAGTAATTGTATACATATGTATGCATACTTGTAAAGTGAAGTGAATTGACATTTTCTTATTTCTTAAAAAAACTGCTGAAATACATTGGACATGAATTTTGGGAGTGGGGTCAGAGTTATTGGCTTCCTGGAAAAGTCATGACATATTTTTTTCTATGCAAAAATGTGTCATGACTTTTCCGACAACCCAATATATATAGAACCCAGTAAAATCACTACTCCAGAAAATTACATGGATGTTGGCCAAAGTAAATAAAAGTGTAAACTTCCTCTTTGATATGCTGCTTCCCAAAATACTTAATGTATCGACAATCCCACACGGGGTCCAAATTCAGTATTTATCAGCAGGTGAAAGTTGCAACCCACACTCTTTAACAGATGAAGCAGGAATTTGATGTTTGCATAGCTCTTCTTTTGGATGTGTGATATGCTTTCCATATTTTACAGACTGCGAGGTGGATTGGGGCGTGGCCATCCCCTCTGAGGGGTGATTTCTCGCTTTCTCTGGGTAAAATAACCCAACGCTCAGTAAGCCGTCCTCGTAGTCTCGTTTTTACCGTAGCAGGTTAGAACTGTGGGTGTGACCTGCACCGTGAGACCTGACCCTGGGTGGGAGCCGCAGAGGATTTGGAAAGAACGCACACAGGCTCACAAGTAAAGGAAAGCAGGGATCTGGGGGGTCTCCAAGCAGTGGCACTGAGCTGTTCCCAGGTTTGTTATTTTATAGGGCGAGGGTGGGGGGGTAGCAGGACGTGAAGCAGGTGTTTTGCTGTCGTCAGCTGAAGCTGTGCAACATCTTGCCTCTCTGCTTCTGATCTGGCCTCTTCTTGTCTCCCTGGCCTTCTCTGGCTGATACATAGCCTCCCTCAGCCTCGCCGACCTTGCAGGGTAGGCACAAGCCGTGGGAACGTGCCTTTGGTCTTCTTTAAAGGCTCCCATTGTTCTGCCCAGCAGGTCCTGCCCACCCCTACAAACTGCAAGGGACCTTCAAGATGATTTTGCTTGGCTTCTCCACTTTGCTCCCTAGCAATCAGGGACCAAGTGGCTTACCCTAAACGGGTCCTGAGTTCAAAGGAAGCGTTCAGGGCCTGGCCTCGGTGAGATCAACTAGAAAGAGAACACATTGGGCCAGACTGGTTCGAGGCCAATCTACTAAAAATGGTTTCAAAACTTTTGGGGATAAAAATACAAGAAAGCAAAAATGATTCAACCAATGGGTTATCAAAATCCTTGCATTTAATCTCAGAAACTGATCTGACACCAGCCATGGTGGCACGTGGTTAATGCGGCCATCCATCAGGCTGAAGCCACGTGGGCGGCCCAGGCTTGATTCCCTGCCCTTGGTCGAGGAAGGTTGCAGTGGCCCATGCTGTGGTCCCTGCTGCTGGGGAGGCTGAGGCAAGAGGACTGGGATGCAGTGAGACTGTCTCTATATTTTAAAAAGACCTCTCATGTCATGGCCCCATGGTCTGTCAGGATTCATCGTCTACCATAGAAACAGACTGTCTCTATATAAATAATATAAACAGACCATATGTGTGTATATAATTAATTAGGTCTTATGCATCAGATTTCAATCCTGTAATAACAGAATGTCTTTTATTGAAGCATATTTACATTTCCAAATATAATGTTACTCTGTTCACAATTTATGAGCCAAATTCGTTTATGATTTATCATTCAGTCTAGTTTTAAAAACTAGGCATATTATATATACTCAAAAAGTGAGAAAAGACACTAAACTACACGAAATATATGTATAAAAGCAAATGTATGAAGAGTGCTGATTGCAGCAACTTTAGTATGTTCACAGCTAAGCCCAAATATCAGCACACCACACTCTACAAAGGTGTCTCACTTCAAAGCAAAACCCCGTTACTCAACTATCATTCCTGTGTCTTCCTACCATGCCCAGCCTTCCACAACATCTGGAGAAGTCCTCTCGGTAGTGCCATCCCATGACAGAAAGGTAGAAAACAAGGAAGTGGGACCAGTAGGTAGAGTAGCAGTTATGTCACTGGACTCCCACATGGACAAATGTAGTTCGAGCCTCAGATTTGGTGGTTTCAAAATCACACTGAGTTGTGTACATGCATGTCCAAGATCCTGGGAGAATAAGGAGAAGGGATAGTGGCATGGCCATCCTGCCTGTGGAGGATGGAGGTGACTTCTCCCTCTCTCTCTCTCTCTCTCTCTCTCTCTCAGCAGGCACATGCACCCTAAGGGAAAAACCTCTTAAAAATTAAAAAAATTAAAAGAAAAAAGGGAAGACAAGGTGTATACATGGAAGCGAGAAGCACAAAGGACCAAACTTGGTTTATCCCAAGATATCAATATTGTCAAAACCCACTCCTAAGGTAAAGGCTTTCCCTTCACATCCACTCATGGGAGCTCCGGCCTCAGAACCAAATCACTCCTGAAAGGCCCGTCTCTTCCTACTGTTACAATGGCACTGCTTCAGCGTGCGTTTTGGAGAGGACAAACATTCAAACCACAACACTGCTTTTTCTACATGTATACGCATAGATGCTCCTTCACTTATGATGGTTCATTGAGCCCTAAAATGAACTAAGCCTGTTTGCCGATGGGCTGCATAGAGAGAGTGCACAGGACAAACGTGTATGGACAAAACAACGTAACTAGCAGGTGAAATCTGGGGAGTCACTGTGCTGCAGTTTATTTTTAAATTTTTTTATCATAATTACCCTTAAAGCAGCTCAGATTTTACAAATATTTGTGTTGCACACAGTATAATTTTGCCCAAGAATCTAAGCAAATGCCTTTAATACGCCGCAGGGTATTCGTTGTTGATGATTATTTTGCAGACTGGGCCTGGTGGTGCAGGGCTGCTGGCCAGCATCAGGTCACGACAGAGTGTCATCCTGCAGGTTACCAGTCTGGAAATACATCAGGATTCAAAATTCAAAGTATAGTCTCTACTAAACGCATATTGTTTCCTTACCAACGTAAAGTCTAAAGCTTGCAAGTTGGGTACAGATAGCATAAATATCTCACATACGTGCATATGTATGTGTGGCGTATCTGTTTTATGTAATACAGGAAATCTATTTGTGTATGTGTGTGATATGTAAGTACATATATAACATGATGACTTGTCAAAAATGTCATGCATTTTTGCATAGAAAAAAATATGTCATCGGGGGCCAGCAGGTGGCGTGGTGGTTAAGGATCTGGACACTCCCGCATGGTTAACCAGTTTGAGTTCCGGACCTGGTGGCTTGCTTTCTCACTTTCCCACTCTTTCTCTCTCTCTCTCTCTCTCTCTCTCTCTGGTCGAATTGAAATAGATGAACAAGGGACCAGCAGTCAGCATAATGGCTATGTCGCTGGACTCCCACGTAGTCGACTGCTGTTCGAGTCCTAGACCTGGTGGCTTAAACTCATGCTGGGTGCGTGTGCGTGCGTGCCCAAGATCCCGAGATCCCGAGAGGAGAATGGAGGAGAGGGGATTGCGGCGTGACCATCCCCCCTGGGGGGTGATTTCTCGCTTTCTGTTTCTCTGTCTCTCTCTGTCTTTCTGGCGAGCACACGCCCTATAGCAAACCCACCGCTCAAAAAAAAAAAAAAAAAAAAAGACCGCATGAATGGGAAATACCTTCGAGTAGGCATGCTCATAAAAAAATTCAAGAACATGAAATATTGTTCAGGAAACAAAGAAGTCATTATTGAAAACGGACAAAGATAACATCATGGCACAGAGAACTGATTTTGGCTCAAAAGGGGTAGGAATGGGAGCAGGGAGGTGCAGGAATCGGGGAGTGAGGTGCAGGAATCGGGGCAGGGAGGTGCAGTATCACTGTGAAAATATATCTGTCTTGCCCTGATCATCAATTCTGTCTCTTCATAATAATGCATTAAACAATGAATGGTTTGTTACCGGAAAGAGAAGACAGCGTTGGGCTTCAGCCCACATGTGCTCGCTCCATCCAGCATCATGTATGATGGAGTCTTTCACAGAGTCCCAGGACGTTGCCAGACCTCGTGGGAGATCAGAGTGTCCTGGAATCGCACCAACTGTTGGTTAAATCGCTGCGCTCTCTCAACTCGGGGCATCCTTTCCAGGAAAAAAATTAGTTCAGAACTCTGGACACTTGAATGTTGAACACCATCAGCTCATTCCATGAGGTAAAGTTAGTGCTCTTTTTTTTTAAATCAAGACTTCAGTATGAGTAGCTGAAAAATGGAGGCAAATTCCAACGACAGTCACGCCTTCTGTGGGCTTCGTTTGTCTATCGCAGTGGTCACTAACTATAGATTCGCCATTTTAAAAGCCCCTTCACTCATGTTGGAAGAAGGATTCACAAGGAGTAGAGCTGACATAAAATTGTGTGTGTGCATGTGTGTCGCACGCGTGCATGTGTGTTCACCGTTGTATGTCACCTTGGTAGGCATTCTCATCACTTCAACTGTTTGCACATGTAAGATTTGAGCTTCACAAATACAGCATGAGTGTGAAAGCTAAACATTGGTGACACATTTTTAAATTGTTAGTGGGTGTGTGCACTCAGCAGAGAGAGGGGGAGAAAGCGCCCCCAGCGGGTCCCACCGCAATTCCTTCTTTTCCATTCTCCATTCAGTTCGGTTTTAGCCACACATGCATGTATCACACCATGTCTCTCAGACTGCCAGGCTGGGATTCGAACCACAAATAGCCACTTGTGATCCAGCTTCCTTAACTGCTAGGCCACAGGGCTGGCCTGATGATAATTTTTATCATAATGGGCAGCACGGTCTCCCCTTCATAGAGACTAGAAACTAAGAAAACGAAGGCACAGCTGTTAGAGCAGTTTCCCCAAGGTCACGGAGCTAGGACACCACGTGGACGAGGTTTAAAATCAGCATGTTCCTGGCCGAATCTGTCATCATAGCTACTTTGCTGTACTGACTCACACTGTTTTAAATCTCGAAGTGTCAATTTCGTTTGAAGATTTGAGAGAAACACATTACTTTTATATTAAAATAAGCAAAGATATATTATGGAGGAGAATGCAAAAAGTATGTGAATTTTTAATACAAAAAGAGACTTCAAAGAATGTTCTTGCTTGTACCTGGTTGGTTCAGCCTAAGGCACTGGATCTCGGGGGGCAGGCGCTCACTGCCCTGTGCTTACGGGACGACTTCAGTGGAAACACGAAAATTACCACACTACACGAACTTTCTCCTTGCTGTGTGTTGAACCTGTTAATATTTATAACCTTCTGTTAGCCATGTGCTTAGACCAAACTCCTCCTAATTTATGTAAAAATGAAACTAGATGGAAGGAACGCAGACAAACATGAGGACGGTTGCACTGGGCAATTTGCATGATCTAAGTTGGCGATTTCACTTTCCCCAGTAAATTCTCAGTAAATGCAGACTTCACTGGTCTTAAAAGGGAAACAGCACCGTTAAGAGGATGGCAGGCGTCCAGATTCCAATCACGTTGAAGTATGTGGAGAGCTGAAATTGAGGGCCCTCTGCCATCAATTCTAAATTTAGCACATGATACAAAAGTTGCTCTTAAACTTTGGGTGTGGACTCCGCAGTTTGCGGGAAACACGTTTCTCCTCGGTTGAATGGAGAACAACTCGTCTATTGGAAACTCATGCTACTGGGTTTAAATAACAGAGTTTGCCTTTTTTATCCTAAATGTCTTTGATCATGTGGGTCTGAGATTTTCTTGTATCACCAGCAGGCCCAGTTACTATATGGAAAGGAGAGAAACCTGATTAAAAACACATAGTGAGAGGCCAGCAGGTAGCGTGGTGGTTAAGGTGCTGGATCCTCACATGGCTGACCACATTTCGAGCCCCAAACCTCGCAGCCTGCCACCTCACTTTCTCTCTCAAATTAAAAAAAAAAAAAAATACTGATAAATAAAGTTAAGTAAATAATTATTTTTAAAAGACACACACAGTGACAGTTCTCTTGGAGGTTCCGATCATTGGTCAATGACACATGTTAATTACATGGCTATGACCTAGCTACAGACAGAGATGATAAGGAACACGCATGCACACTGCACTCAGAGAGGCCCGGGGGGCAGGAGTCCTAACTGCTGACTTTTGAGTTTTCACATTTGAAAAATGAGGATATCGGTACATATGTAAAGTTTTGACATGTAATTCATACAGTAAAACTTAAAGGGAGTGAGTACTTCCTTGCCATACAAACTTAGTAGGTAATCTTCACATATTTACCTATTGATCTGTAAGCTCAGCTCATACAAATTGAATGCTCCACCTGGCTATGAAGGACTTTATGAAGGTTTTAATCATTGCCAGCAAGAAGTAGCTACGGTGCTTAGTTCAATGACATTGTAGTTACTACACACCACAAATACTACCGAAATATTAGTACTCACATTCTCTCACGCACACCAACCAGTAAGTCACGTGTGTGTCATCTCACTCTATAAACAATACTCATGACACCTAAGGAGTTTGAAATGACAAAGAGTCATAAGGGTTACGGGTTGTAGCTCTCAGAGGATAGATTTGAACCTGTAATGATCTGATTCCAAAATATTTGTTCTTCCCAATGAACCTTCAGTAATTGGAAGGTTCAGGAAGCATCTTCCCAATCTTCCTGAATGATAAACCCATCAGAGTATCCTCACCCATCAGTCCGTCCTGTGCAACATTGTTCTGAAATTGTAAATAAAATGTACATGTGATTTCTTGGTATCCTAGGAAATAAAGAACAGGAAGAAGACATGAGTTTATTTGACGGTTGTAGCTTTAGTGACTTCTCTGTTACGGTATCCTACATTTATAGCTGAGTCTCTGATTTATAGCTTTTAGAGTAGTATGTTGGAACAATCAAACTGGGAGTTTTACAATAATTTTATGAGGGTTGTAAGTGACATTTGGTGACATTTGGTCACCTTTAGGTTAAATTCTGATAGAAACTCTGAGTCTGAGGGACCGCTTATGTATTCTAACTTACTTTGGAAGGTCATCCCAATGATACTTTTAATACTGATAGTAAGAATGAGCTCTGTAGGAAATCTTTCTATGCTACAGAACATGCTTCTCTAAACGACCTCATTTTCTCTTTGTCCTACTCCTTGAGATGGACAGGAAACTTTTACTATTCTCATGTTAATGATGGGGAAATGGAGGCTCCATGGTGAGGTGATGACTGGAGCCCGTGGACCAGGGACCCTGATGTGAGAGGCTTGTCCTGAGCCCTGCCTTTTAGTTCTACCCAGCCGGCTGTAAAAGAGTAAATTTAGGAATTAATTTAAGCCAGATAGATTTAAAGGCTGGGTTAAACAGTATGTGTACCCTAATGTGGGTTTCACATCATGAGCTTTTTCTTTTTATTTATTTGTTTTTTTTATTTTGTAGAGAGAAATTCTGGAGCATGTGTGCATACTAGACACACAGAGACAGAAAGAGAGAAATCACCCCCGGGGGATGGTCATGCTGCAGTCTCTTCTCCTACATTCTCCTCTCGGGACTTGGGGCATGCACATACACGTACCCAGTGAGTTTCAAGTTGCCAGGTCCAGTGGCCAGCCATGTGGGAGTCCAGAAATGTAACCATTACACCATCTGCTGGTCCCATGGACTGTTCCTAACATCTAAGGTCATGTTAACCCTTGTTTGCCTGTGTATCTGAGAAAAAGAGCCCCTAGGCATGTTTGAATATGCGGAGTGGCAATCTGATTCCCCGAGTTAAATCTAGGTAGAAGTACCATAAATGGGCTAAGTGACCTTCATGTCAGATAAAGGTCATATGACTGGCAGCAGAAATAACCAATCGCAAGACAATATTACCTTTTAAGGAAGGGATTCCCAGCTCTGGTGTTTAGCTCCCCAGGTTTGCCTCCGGTGTTTCAAGGATGAAGAAATGTTTCCAGGCACACAAATATTTAAATGTTAAACTACTCTTCTGTTTCATCCTTGTTTTCCTGTGTGGAGCCATGGAACTTCCCATGTGTGATGTCACAGTGAGCTTTGCAGGAAGAGCTTGGCTGGCATCGTACTAGGAGACCCTCCAAAATGCCACATGGAAGCAAGAGTGGAAGAAGTTACTAATCCAGTAGCACTGTGCCAGGGAGGGGGCTTCTGCTCACGGCCACGCTGTGTCTCAGATGCTCTCCTGGCTTGTGGGTTCACAGATAGTGGACACTGTCAGATTCGACCTGGATTCTGTTTTGTTTTTAATCTCTTCCCCTAAAATTTCATTTTCTCCTCCTCTCTCTCTCTTTTCTTTTTAAATTTTGTTACAGGATGTGTGCACTCACCGGAGAAAGACAGAGAGAGAGAGAGATAAAAGAGAGTGAGAAGTTACTCCCGTGAGGGAGGCGGCCCGCACTGCACTCCCTCCTCCTCCATTCGCCACTTAGAATTTGGGGCAGTCATGCACACATGCTCGGCGTGTTTTTCCGGGTCTATGACTTGAACCACACAGTCAGCTACGTGGCGTGCAGTCACCTTAATCAAACGCCACCTGCTCGCCCCTTCCCTCTCTTTTTTCTTCTTCTCTTGTACATCTTGGGTTAAAACTCTGTTTTTCTGGGGCCAACAGTTGGTGTAATGGCTATGTCGCTGGACTCCCACGTAGTCGACCACTGTTGGAGTTCCGGATCCAGTGGCTTAAACTCACCCTGGCATGTGTGCGTGCGTGCCCAAGATCCCGAGAGGAGAACGGAGGAGAAGGGATTATGGTGTGGCTATCCCCTCTGGGGGTGATTTCTCACTTTCTGTCTTTCTATCTCCCTTGATCATTTCTGGTGAGCACACGAACCCTATAGTAAAAAACTCTCAAAAAAAAATCCCGTTTTTCTAACAGTCTTTTCGAGATATAATTGATAGACAGAGCACTGCAGTTAAGTAACGTGTACAGTTTAATGAGTTTGGCCATATGCAAACATGTATGATCCCCCAACTGCAGTGAAGGTAATAGATACTCTCGAAGTTTCCCGTCTCTGTCTTTATTCATTTCATGATAACATTTGCATGAGCAAACCCATAGAAGAGTAAACACCCTCTTAACACATTTTGAAGTGCAAAATACCATAGTGTTACATGTAGGCACGCTATTTTACGTCTGTCCTGAAAGTTATTCAGCTGCCGTATCTGGCATGTAAGCTCACGGGCTATGCCCACACCTCACTCTGCCCACCTCCTTCCCCACAACCACTGCTGTGTCCTTCCTCTCTATGAGCGCGGTGATGGCGACCCCCTGTGAGTGACTGTGTCCTTCCTTTCTATGAGCGCGGTGATGGCGACCTCGTCTAAGTACAGTCGCAGGGTGACCCCCTGTGAGTGACTGTGTCCTTCCTCTCTATGAGTGTGGCTGTGATGGTGACCTCGTCTAAGTACAGTCACAGGGTTACCTCCTGTGAGTGACTGTGTCCTTCCTCTCTATGAGTGTGGCTG